TGAAGAATGACTCTTCAGACTTGTAGAAGACTTCAGAGTTCAGACTTCTAAATCTGGAAAAGAAGACTTCAGACTTTTTTTTCTAAGTCTAAAAAAAAGACTTCAGAGTTCAGACTTYTAARTCTRAAAAAGAAGACTTCAGAGTTCAGACTCCAAAGTTCGGGTGAGCTAAGTCTGAAAATACAGACTTCGGAGTTCGGGTGAGCTAACTCTTTAGAATGACTATTCATACTTGTACTCTTGAAACAACTCTGAAAAATGACTTCAGACTTATACTCTTGAAGTAAAACTCTGAAGAATGACTTCAGAGTTGTACTCTTGAAGTAAAACTCTGAAGAATGACTTCAGACTTGTATTATTGGACTAACTCTAAAGTATAACTCTGAAAATTGACTATTCAGACTTGAATTTAGAAACAAAACTATATCAATAATTAGTTAAAATGAAGTTAACCCTAGAATAAAATTTAATTTAGAAATGAAACTATTTCAGTAAATTGAATTTAAACTTAGAAGAGCGTCTGTGTCAAATCTGAAGACCTCGAGTTCACAGTTATTCAAATACCCAATATCTTTGAAAAATACCTTATGGTAAAGTTTGCATCATATAGAACAAGACCAACTAGAGCTCCTCTGACATCCAGAAGCCAGACCAACCAGAGGGGCTCTAGCTTACAAGACTAAGTCTAAGTCATAAAGACTTATCTTCAAAGTCTAGATAAGTTTATTACAAGACTTGTACTATTGAAATTACTCTGAAATAAAACTGTTCAGACTTCAAAGCTCTGTATAGGCAAGACAGAAGTTCTGCATGCACTATGTAGAGGCTCTGTATGGTGTCCGCTTGAAAAAGAAGACTATAGAGTTCAGGTGAGCTAACTATGAAGAATGAATCTTCAGATTTGTACTCTGGAAATAACTCTGAAATAAAACTCTGAAGAATGACTCTTCAGACTTCAGTGCTCTGTATAAGCAAGGCAGAAGTTCTGCATACACTATGCAGAGGCTCTACATGGTATTTGTTTGGAAAAGAAGACTACAGAGTTCGGGTGAGCTAACTCTAAAGAATGACTCTTCAGACTTGTACTCTAGAAATAACTCTGAAATAAAACTCTGAAAAATGACTCTTCAGACTTGTACTCTTGAAATAACTTTGAAATATAAAACCAATCTCATTAAATCAGAGTTCAGACTTCTAAGTTTGAAAAAAAAGGAGTTCAAAGTTCAGACTTCGGAGTTCGGGTGAGCGAAGTCTGAAAAAGAAGACTTTAGAATTCGGGTGAGCTAACTCTGAATAATGACTTTTCAGACCTGTACTCTTCAAAATTATAGAAGACTTCAGAGTTCAGACTTCTAAGTCTGAAAAAGAAGACTTCAGACCCTTTTTTCTAAGTCTAAAAAATAATTCAGAGTTCAGACTTCTAAGTCTGAAAAAAGAAGATTTCAGAGTACAGACTCCATAGTTCGGGTGAGCTAACTCTGAAGAATGACTTCAAACTTGTTCTCTTGAAATAACTCTGAAGTAAAACTTTTCAGTAAATTGAATTTAGAATAAAATGAAGTTAACCCTAGAATAAAGTTGAATTTAGAAATGAAACTATATCAGTAAATTGAATTTAAACTTAGAAGTAAACACCATTTTTTCTGGGAATTAGTTACCACATGAATTAATTAACCAAATAATAAAATCAATTGCATCCTAAATTAGTAGGATTTATTGAAAAAGATGGCACATGACAATCAAATGAATATAATTGAACTGTTAATGTAAATTGTGTCTAGATACGTTCAAATGAGTCTAATTGAACCATTAATGTAAATTGTGTCTAGATATATTTTTAGGCGGAAAAATAAGATAACCGCCTCATCAGAAGATTACACGTGTCACCCAAGTTACTTATTTTTTAGGTATATATATTAATGTGCATATTAGATGTATGATGACTTATTTAATTTAGCATTGTTTAAAGTAAAGTCAAAGACAAATCCCGCTTAATGGTTGAACGAAAAAACCCTTTTAAGTTTTATAAATTCAAACACAATTTGATACTAAGATAATCTCGGAAAAAATAGTTTCTTTTTCAAGTTTTCAATTTTAACTTATTTTTCGTTCATGGATTCTACTTGTTTTGTTTTCATCTAAAGAGTAGAACAGTTGTATTCAACAACTGTCGCCTCGTGAAAAAATAAAACACATAATAAAATTTAAAAACAATTGTAATAATTGTTATGTGAAATTAATAAATTTAAATTAAAACCATATAAATAAAGAAAAAAAAAAGTTTATTAGAACATCTCCAACAAATTTTTAAAAATTTAGAAAATGAAGATTTTGAACTAACTTTTTGTTCTAACAGAATCTTTAAAATGGAAAAAGTGTGATAACAGTAATAAAGTTATCTGAATTTGGAGAACTTATTAAAACATCTCCAATAAATTCTCAAAAATGGAGAATCAAAATTTCAAATCACCAAAAAATTACATTTGACGCCAACAATTTCTGTATTTTGGAGATTACAATATTGTTTATATTAGTAATATATTGTATATTTTAATAAAATATTATTTATCTATTTAAAACATTAAATTTCAAGGTTTATTATTGATGAAAATATAATTAAAAGTTAATTTTCTCTCATAATAATCATTTTTTAGAGTTCTTTAAATTTAGAAAACTTAACACTCTGTAATTCATATTTTCTTCGTTTTACATAACTCGTTGAAGTGAAAATTTATACAAAATTAACAGAATTTTCATTTTCTCCATTTTGAATAGTCTGTTAAAAATCCTTTTAAAAAATGATTACTTACATGATATAAAAATGATCTTTTTTATTACTAGAAGGGTACTCGCGCAATGCAGCGAGATAAATCTCCATTTTAATGTTTAGTTTTTATTTTTCTCTATCGATATAACATGATTTTATGTGGTTTTGAGAAAACGATAATGTTTTTATTTTTGAATTAAATATAAATTTGAATATAGCATAAAAATTTGAAAAAATTAAATCGATATTAGTATCAAATTAACTATTTAATAATTCTCGTTTTTATGTAACTTCTTTAATTTAATTTTTTTATTATATGTTAATTTAGATTTAATAACAAAGTAATTTATTTTTAGTTTAATAATATAATTTTTTATAATGATAATAATTAAACATTCTGTTAGAACTAAATGATTATCTTAATTATAATTTATATTTTCTATACTTAAAATGAATGTTTATCCTGTATTTGACTATCTTTATCTACAGTTAGTTATGCGTACTTAAAGATTGAGCTTTAATAAGCTGTACTTATGCAGAATTACTTGTAATCTTGAATTTTAAGTAATGTGCATCAATAAACAGTACTTCATGCATAAAAAAAATAATTTTTAAGAGTTTTGTCAAATGCTTTATGATATAATATAGATTTTTATCAATAATAACAATTGAAATTAAATGCATATGATAAAAAAAATACTTTAATAATATAATCAATATTACAATATTTAAAAATAAAAAATTTGTTGATATTAGCTGTAATTTAAAGAATATTTTGACTTTTGCCTCTTTACGTGAGTAATTTGTTGAAGATACCCTAATTTTTTAAAAGCATCTCCAATAAATTCTCTAAAATGAAAAATATAAGATTTTGAACCAATTTTATGTCCAAAAGATTCCCTAAAACTATCTTTTTCAAAATGGAGAATTTAGGAAATAAAGTTTTTTTCTCCAAAAATAATTATTATATAAGAGAAATATTTATTTAATGTCTTTCCACCGAGTAGAAAACTTTAAGAATAAATATTTACAGAAAAATATATTTTATCAGATGAATGAAATATTTTAATATCAGAGCATCTTGAACAGATTTTTCAAAATGAAGAAAGATTTTGAGCTTAGGCATTTCGAACAGATTCTCGAAAATGAAGGATAGTTTTAAACTAAAATTGAACTCCACTAATTTTCCAAAAGTATTTGTAAAATGCAAAAATTAGGAAAGAGATGTTTTCTCTCTCCAAATATGGAGATGCTTTTATTATTCTTATTTTAATTTTTTGTAATTTATTTAAGAATTCTATAATTTATACTATATTATAAAGCATTTAATAAAACTTTTAAAAATTATTTTTTATGTATGAAATACTGTTATTGATACATATTATTTAAAATTCAAGATTACAAGTAAATTGTGCGTAAGTACAATTTATTAAAGCTTCATATTTGAATTCATATAACTAATTACAGATAAACATATTCAAATACATGATAAATATCTCATTTTAAATATAAAAAATCTAAAAATAATTAGGATACTTATTGAGTTCTAACAAAATACATAATTATTATCTTTATAAAAAATTATATTATTAAACCTAAATTAAATTATAATAAAAAAATTTAAATTAAAGAAATTACACAAAAAAACAAGATTTTTAAATAGTTAATTTGATACTAATATCGGTATATATATATTTCAAATTTTATGTTTTATTCAAAAATAAAAACATTATCGATTTCTCAAAACCATATAAAACCATATTATATCAACATAAAAAACAAATAAAATAACAACATTGAAATCTAGACATGTCTCGATACATTGTACGAGTACCTTTATAATAATATAATAATATTGTAAAAAGTTGCTGACATCAGCTGTAACTTTCCAAGTTATATTTTGACTTTTGACAGTCTTAATTTGTTGTTGTTTAAGACGAAGAATGGAAACACGTAAGAGTCGACTAATGTAGGAAGACTTGGAACTGCCGACGAATTCCGGTCCACATCCTCAATCCAATTCCATACCTTCCATTCCAATTCCATGGCTTTCATTCCAATTCCATAGCTTCCATTCTCACTTCCAACTCACCGCCACCGCTGCAACCTCCCCCTATAAAATCCACCCAAAACTCCATAATCTCTCCATCACTTCTTATCAATGGCTATCTTAACTCCATCTTGTTTTCTTTCCTTTGCTTCTCCCAATTTCCCCCTCAATTCACCCCCATAATCGCAATCGATTTCAAGCTCTGTCACGTTCGGAAGACCTCGGGTTTCAGCGGCTTACTCCACCGCCGAGAAGCAAAGGACTTCTCCGGCAACGGAGACCAACACAATCGGCTCCTTCCATAATGGGAACTCTTTCTCGCTGTACGATGTGCTCGGGATTCAAATGGGGGCTGATATACGAGAGGTGAAATCGGCGTACCGTAGATTAGCAAGAGTTTTGCATCCGGATGTCGGAAGTCTTGACTCATCGGCCGATGAGTTCATGAAAGTGCACTCGGCTTATACTACATTAGCAGATCTGGCAAGACGAGCGGATTACGATCGGAGTCTGTTGCAGAGGCGGATGGGGTGTTCTTCTCCGGTAATATCTGCCGGTGGCTATAGAGGTCGGAGATGGGAGACGGACCAGTGTTGGTAGAAATTGCATCCGTGAAATTGAAGCTGTAAATATGCAAATATTGTGACAGTCCTTTAGGTAGATTTTTTTTAATTAATCTGAAAATCCAACCCGCTATGCGAACCGATTAATCTGAGGACGATCACCTATTTTGAAGATAGTCTGAATTCATTGTTTTTGGTAGATTTTGTTGCCAATGTATTGGATTTTTCAACTTTATCTAGTTGCCGCCATTTGTAAATCCGTATATTTTCTAATTAATTTTCATTTTTTTCTTACCCAAAGTAGTAATTTGTTTTTAATTTTAATTAATTTCAGATAATTTTACATTTTAATCATTTTAAAAAATTGAAATACAAATAAACACAAAAATATTTAAAATGGGCCCCAAATAAATATATTTGTAGAGCATTTCCAATAGATTATTTAAAACGAAAAAAATAAGGAAAATGGTATGAATCGAAATTGAGCTCCAAACGGATTCCATAAAAGTATCTCCAAAATGATGAAAATAAGAAAGAAAAGGTTTTTTCTCCATATGATTTTCATATGAGAGAAATATTTTTTAAGACAGTTCTATTATTTAAGAAAAGAAATAATATTTTAATAGATAAATAAAATATTTTAATATTATAATCAATGTTGGATTCTCCAAAATAAATAATTTGTTGGAGATGAATGTATTTTTTTTTAAAGATTTCAATTTTTGGTTCTCCATTTTGAAGAATTTGTTGAAGATGCTCTTTAGACAAGAAGTGTATAGAACTATAAAAATGTATTTGTACAATGTTGTGTAAAACATGTTGATTATAAAGCTAAAAAGTTAAGTTTTTAATCTTGATTAAGGGGCTGTTTACAAAACTCTTACAGGGTAAGCACTTACAGGACGTCCTTTACTTTACCAGTGAGCATGGCAAAGACCGAAATTACCCGGTAATTAAGAAAAAAGATTCATACTCGATAAGTGCTTACTGACTAAAAGACGCATATCACAATTCAATTTGATGACCGAGAACGTTACCTAGTAAGGTAAATTAGGGTGATATTTTTTGTTGATAGACACATTTACTTACACAAATTCAAATATAATAGGATAATAATTTACTCCAACGAGGAATGTAAAAAGTCAGAAATGAAATTTTGCTGTTCAAGCAAGAGGATGTTGAAGCAATATCTAATGCTTGGGAGAGATTCAAGGAAGTTCTTCGAAAGTGCCCACATCATGGAATCCTCCATTGCATTCAGTTAGAGACATTTATAATGGTCTTTCCAATTCTGCAAAAAAATGGTCGTCGATGCTATAGCGGATGGAGCTTTTATAGCCAAAACCTACAATGCGGGATATGATTCTTAAGATGGTTACCAACAACGATATCGAATGGTCGAATCCTCAGGCGCTCCTTCCCAAGAATGCTTCGGGAATTCATGACATATAAATGCACAAATTGTCGCATTAACAAATTGGTAAGAAAATAATTTGAATTCAAGAGAAAAGAAACAATTGCATTCCGTAATGACTAATCTGATACTGAATGAAAGTTGTGTATTTTGTAATAAAAACCATTCTTACGAGAATTGTACCGGTAATCATGTCTCGGTAAACTGTTGGAGGTGATTTAAGCAACTAAAAAAGAGAGAATTTACTTTTGTTATATTATTGAATATTTTTATTATATAAATAAGGATAAAATGCATGAAATAACAACCTACTTTCATAAATTTTATTATTATAACATTCTACTTTTGTTTTTCTTTATTACAACAATGTACTTTTAAATTATTTTTTATTAAGGCATCACACTTTAAAAAAATCTACCTATTATAGCAATGGATAACCTGTTACCTTTTAAACCGATTAACCCTTTGACTTTTTTTTGTTTGTGTGACTTTAATGAGGTGATGTGGATGAAACATTATTTTGATGATTTAACTAAAATAAAAATAAAAACATATTTCAAATTATTATTAGTGATTTTCATTTTTAATTGCTATGATTTAAAAAAAACGTTTGATTTTTTTGACTTTTTCTTATTAAGTTGCATGCAAATTAAATATTATAGAGTAAAATATTTCTTAAATAAATATAATACATTATTTTTTAGATATATTTTGTTTGTAAAAAAAATAACACTTCTTATTTTATGTTGTTTAAAAAAATACATATATTTTAAAGTTCTCTTTAAAATGTTAACGAAATAATTATGATCTACAATTTTTTAATATTGTTATATTAATAAACAATTCAAAAAATCTAATTAATTTAATATATTTATATGTCAAGTAAAAGTTTTGGAAAAAATATAATATAATCTTTAAAAGATAATATTAACGAGATAAGTTGTCTTTAGCTATTTTTTTATATTAATATTGGTATATTAATGAATAATTTAAATTCATTTAATAAATTTATTAAATAACATGTAAAATATCCAAATATTAAAATTAAAGTACATTTTTAATAAGAACTAATAGATACTATAAAAATAAATTTGAAAGTATAATGTTGTGATAAGAAAGTCACTCACTATAGTACATGTGGACAATCTACGTGGATAATGAGGTGGCATGAAAACTTGGTATAATAGGTAAATTTAATTCAAAAGGTTACCCAATGTTATAATATGGTAAATTTTTCAAAGTACAATGTCCTAAAAAATAGTTTGAAAGTACATTGCTGTAATGAGGAAAACTAAAAGTACAATACTATAATAAAAAAATTTATGAAAGTAAATTGTTATTTTTTGCATTTTGCCCTATAAATAATGTTGAAATCTACAAAAAAAAGAAGTTGTTGTAGTGGATATATAGGGGAGGATTCCGATAAGAACACGAGAACTATCAATAACACGACTGTGTAATTCATCATTAATGTGAGATTCATGATAAATAATATCGAGATAATATAAAAAGAAGATAATTTTCTTTGGGAAAATGATGAAAATAACCATTTTATATAACTCTCTTACACAAATTAACCAGTTTTTAAGGGTTTTACAAAACTAACCACACGGATCTCCCCTGGGGCGATCCGTAATAGTGGGGGGCGATCCGGCCTTTTTCTTAGAATTTTTTTTTAAATTTCTTTTTTCCCACTTGGGGCGAGCCACGTCATCGGATCGCCCCCGGCGGCGATCCAGGCTTTTTAATTTTTTTTTTAATATCAATTTCACTATAAATATCAACCTCCTATTTCATAAATTTTCACACATTCCCTTTCATTTCTCTTCTCATATATTCTACTCTCACAACCTTTAACTCATTAAACACAATCAACTATCACAAAACATGAAATCACGTCAAAGTGATGATGTTCGTGTGTATCTTCGAAGTGGCGGTTAAAGCCCGTATGCATATATACGTTAAAAATACGTACGTAAAACGTATGTGAATATACGTAAATATGCGTACGTGTTAAAACCTGTACGCATATATATGTTAAAATACGAATTTTCAATTTTTGTACCGTTTATATCGTTTTTTTACGTAATGCATATATATATATATATATATATATGTTAATGCAATTTATATCGTTTTTTTTTACGTTATGTATCTTTATATATATATATATATATATATATATATATATACGTTACCGCAATTTATATTGCTTTTTTTTACGTAATGCATATATATATATATGTTAACGCAATTTATATCACTTTTTTTTACGTTATGCATCTCTCTCTCTCTCTCTCTCTCTCTATATATATATATATATATATATACACGTTACCGCAATTTATATCGCTTTTTTTACGTTATGCATTTCTCTCTCTCTCTCTCTCTCTCTATATATATATATATATACACACACATTACCGCAATTTATATCGTTTTTTTTACGTAAATGTAAGTAGGTATATATATATACGTATATACATACGTACACATATATACGTACTCACATATGTGAAGATACGTAAATATGCGTAAAAGTTTTAACCCGTACACATATATACGTATAAAATACGTACGTGAAGATACGTAAATATGTGTATGAGTTAAACCCGTACGCATATATACGTTAAAAATACGTACGTAAAACGTACATGAATATACGAAAATATTCGTATGTGTTAAAACACGTACGCATATATACGTATAAAATACGAAGTTACAATTTTTGTACCGTTATTGCTTTTTTTTACGTAATGCATCTCTATATATATAAATGTTACCGCCAGTTCGAAAATACACACAAACATCATCATTTTGACGTGATTTCATGTTTTGTGATGATTTATTGTGTTTAATGGGTTAAAGGTTGTGATAGTAGAATATATGAGAAGAGAAATGAAAGGGAATGTGTGAAAAATTATGAAATATGAGGTTAGTATTTATAGTGAAATTGGTATTACAAAAAAAAGAAAAAAAAAAAAAAAAAAAAAGCCTGGATCACCCCCGGGGGCGATCCGATGACGTGGCTCGCCCCAAGTGGAAAAAAAGAAATTTTAAATTCTTTTTTTCTAAGAAAAAGGCCGGATCGTCCCCCACTAGTACGGATCGGGGGCGATCCGTATGGTTAGTTTTATAAAACCACTAAAAACTGGTTATTTTGTGTAAGAGAATTGTATAAAACGGTTAGTTTTGTCATTTTCCTATTTTCTTTTATGAAGACGGAGGGAATCGATGCTGTCTTGCACATGGCACGAAAAGACGTGTGAAGACCGAAACCGTGGACGAGCGCCGGTCGAGATTCCCTGTGCCGTAAACATCGCCACCGGCCTCTTTGCGCTCTGACTTTTCTTCTTTTTTATTTCTTACTTTTCTGTTCATTTCATCTCTCCAAACCCATGTTCACTTTGGATAACTCGCCTCCTGATTTCCAACTCACCGCCACGTACTCACCCCCCTATAAAATCACAAAATCCACCCCCAAATTCCAAACCACCCAAAAATCCACAATCTCACAAACATTTCTTCAAAATCAATGGCTATTTCAACTTCATCTTCCTTCGTTGCTGTTGCTGTTGCTTCCCCCAATTTCTACTCCAATTCGAAGCCGTCGTCACAATCGATTTCAACTTCTGTCAGATTCGGAAGATCTCGGATTTCAGCAGGTTATGCCACCGCCGAGAGGTCCTCGACGGCGACGGAGACGATTAGATCGTTCCGTAGTGCTAGTCCTTCCTCGCTGTATGATGTGCTTGGGATTCGAATCGGTGCTGATACGAGTGAGGTGAAAGCGGCGTACCGTAGATTAGCGAGAGTTTTGCATCCGGACGTCGGAAGTGGAGATTCGTCGGCGGATGAGTTCATGAAAGTTCACTCGGCTTATATTACGCTTGTAGATCCGGAAAAACGAGCGGATTACGATCGCAGTGTTGTCCAGTTGAGGGCGGGAGGTTCGTCTCCGATGAGATCTGGCGGTGGATACCGGAGCCGGAGATGGGAGACGGATCAGTGTTGGTAGAATTAGAGACATTGAAGGTGTAAATATGGTTGGTTGGATAAAAGTAGGTTGAAAGTGTAACAATTCTTGGCTAGATTTTGATGCCACGGTATTGAATTACAACATGATTGATGAATGTTGGTTCTTTTTAATATATCAAAAATTAAAATATATAAAATAAATTACATTACTCCGTATATATTATTAAAATATTTAATATACATAATGTTTTAATAGCAAATTATATAATGTACTTTTAAAACTTATATTTGCAAACAATAAATGTAAAATTTTAAATATTTAAGTACATGGGTAACCAGTTAAAACATTAACTGGTTGTCATGTTCATGTGTCGAGTGATGAGATAAAATTGGGTTAAATACGAATTTAATGACCAGGAACATGAAGAGTTGCTTCTAATCTTTACAAATTTAAGGATCTTCATGGAAAGCTGGTATAACGGGTAAATTTAAATATCTTAAAAGTTTGCAAATTGCAAACTATTTACGAAAACATTTAGCATCCTATGTTTCGTTAAGATCATTTTGTACAGAGATAGCCAAATTAGGCCTGATCTGGCTCGATATAGATTAGGACCAGTAGAGATCATTTATGGCTCAACAATTCGAGACCGGTTATGTCTTTTATGGAAATTCAAGGCTTGATTTGGGACCGATTATTTGTAGCCTCGAAAGAATTGAATCTTTTATAACATATATAATAAGATTTTTAAGTTCTTCAAGTTTTTCAAGATTTTATTTACTTGCAAGTATCATTTAAAATGTGTTTTAATACTAAATTCTAAAATTCCTAATTATATAAACATGTACAACATTTTTTATGTAAAGAAATCTAAAGTCTATATGACTAAGATATGTTCAAAATTTATTTTTGATATAAAAATCTGGCCCAGACCCGGTTCTAGGGACAGGGCTTTGTACATGGAGAACGGATTGGATGTTTCTGGCTAGGATTGGGATGGGTTAAGATGGGACTGGTTATAAGAGAACAATCTCGGATCTAGACCAATTTGAGCCTGATCTGCAATCGGATTTTAGCCATCTCTAATTTTTTATACAAAATAATTAATTGGTCAAAATGCAAAGTTTTTATCTAAAATCTAAGGATGGGCTTGGCCCAATCTTCTTGATGCAAAAATGTTAGGGGTTGTTTGATTACCTATTAATAGTTCCATTAAGAGACAATCTTTGAATCGTTAACAGGTTAATTTTGTTTGACAAAAAAAAGTCTGCTTCTTAATGGTTCTAAAACTTTCTGAATGATTTTGTATCATGGATCTCCCTTAACTATTAAGGCCCCTAATTTCATTGTACATAATTACCAAATAATTATATTTCATTTTGCATTATATCATGAGAGCCTCTTAATCATTGTGACCACTTAATCATTCTGCACCAAACCATTCAACAATTGCCAAACAACCCCTTACATTTATGTTTTCCCTTTCACATTGGCATGTATCAATTATTTTCAATGACGTAAAATTTGGAGATGTTCTTAGTTCATAAACCTATTATTTACCAAAAAAAAAAAAAAAAAAATTCAAAAAGGAGCTCACGCTAATCATCTACTAACTTCTTTAAAGAGATTATTGAAATTATCGATCTTTGAAAATATACGATATAACGATAACTAAAATACAACGTAAAAAAAATTATATACCAAATAATACGAATTAAATAAGTAAAAAAAATCTTTAAACCTAAAAGAATTGTTAAAACATTACAAGTTTATATAAAACCTTTTCCAAATTTTTATAAATACATTTTATTCATTAACAATTTTAAAACTATCATAACTAATACGTAAAACTAATTTTTAAAATACAAAAAAAAACGGTTGAAACCAGTTTATGTGGTCCGTTTCTTGTTCGTGGGGCGCTTAAAAAATATCGATGTATTGATCTGGTTTTGTCACCATTAAGGGTGCGTGCGGTACATTGGACATGATAGGATAGAACATGACAGAGATCTCTATCACATGTTTGGCATGACTTTTATGTGGAACATACATGAACAGAGTGGAACAGACCTGTTCCAACCCTACCCCATGGAATATGGTGGAACATACTTATATTTTATCAATATAACATCAAAATAAAACTTAATTCTTTTTTAAAACATCAAATAAGTTTTTTTATATATTTTATTCATTCTTTAAATTTTATTTATTATATTTTATGTTTCTTAAATTTTTATTTTACTGTCCTTAAAATATTATTTTTATATGGTTTCAATATTTTTATTAATTTATGTAATTTATTATATATTAATTATAGAAAATAATGTAGAAAAGAGATAAAAATAAAAATTGGAAACTACATACACTTTTTAGTTGGTGTCATTTTAATTGTTTTGATGAAAACTTCAAATGATATATTTTGTTAAAAAAAATAATTATTCTATTACAATTTAATAAATTACATAAATTAATTAAAACAAACAACTCATCAGGGGTAAATTGGTCATTTGACTTGTTCTGTTCTGTTTTGTCCAGTTTTATCTTACCAAACGTTGAACAGTTGTTGTATCTTGTCTTGTTCTGTCCCGTACTGTCCTGTCTGGACACCAAACACACCCTAAAGATTAAAGGACGTTTTTTCCATCGATAATTAAATGTGTATTCATTCACCTTTTTAATACTCATATTGATCTTTCATGATCATACTTTATAGGGAAAAGTTCAAAAAAACCCAATGGACTTTACTGTTTGGAACGATTAAACCCTTGGACAATTTTTTGAAACAAATAAACCCTTGGACTTTCTAAAATCTGTTAAATAACCCAATGGACTTTACTGTTTGGAACGATTAAACCCTTGGACAATTTTTTGAAACAAATAAACCCTTGGACTTTCTAAAATTTGTCAAAAAAACCCAATGGATTTTACTGTTTGGAACGATTAAACCCTTGGACAAGTTTTTGGAACAAATAAACCTTGG